AAAAAGCAAAGAGTACTTGTTTGTGCCCTTTGCATAACCATACAGTTGAAATGATTATTCCAGCCCTTACAGAAGAAATTTGGGACACTCATTACACAATGTGTGCACTTAAGACATATACAATTACACAATGTCTTAACCCTAATTCCTAACCGTAGCATTCCAGCACTTAGCGAATGGAAGTGTGGCACTAGCCACCCTAAAACAACATGGCTGTCAGGTTCAAATCACTTGGTGTTTTTATGAGGAAAAATTACTTCAAGTGTTTGATCAGAAATTGTAAAACCAGGAACAAAATACTAAATGGCTCTCATCCTAAGATACTTTGGCTTGTAAACACTTTTGCTGTAGTTACAAAACAAAAACAAAGTTAAAATGAGTGAAAATCTCACAAAACCCTTTGAAACCATGTGTGGGTCATATTTCAATCCAAAATCACAAGAACTTACAAGCACTTATATACTCTAGAAAGAAAACGCGGCCTACTTGTGAGATAAAATAATTAATACTAATCTTAAGTTTGCATGCCAATTTCCATGCCAATTAAGCACTCAAAATATTTTGATTGTGGAATATTTATACATTATGATATATCACGATGAGTAGTAGTTGGGCTCGACTTTGATCATTTTAATATATTACTGTATTATAGTAATGAGAATCATTTAAAAAATCCGGATATACAAATCTCAATTGTCTTCTACTCAGCAAAATTGTAATGGTCCTAAATGTTCCTATACGAAAACATCTTAAAGGGAAAGTTCACCAAAAATGTTTAATTCTGTCATTTATTCAGCCTCATGTTGTTCCCAACCTATTTGAGATATGTATATATATATATATATATATATATATATATATATATATCTCGTTTAGTCATTTAGCTGACGCTTTTATGCAAAGCGACTTAATAAATGAGGACAATGGAAGCAATCAAAATCAACAAAAGAGCAATGATTATTTTATCTAGGGTGACCATACGTGCCATTTTCCCAGGACGCGTCCTGGCCAGGATTTGTTTTGGCTTTGTTTTCCTGTTTTCATGTTGTTGTTTATTTTATTTATTTATTTATTTTTATTAAACACAGAATACAAGAACTCATAGAGGTAACATGTTTTCATGCTTGCTGAAGGTAATGATCGAAAAGTAGTTTGACCAATAACATGCAAGCATAGTACATAATGGACCATTCATGGCGTGTGAGAAGGTGGGATCTACGGTCAAAGCGATGCAATTACGCGTACATATTAGGTGTGTTCGACTTAAAAGCAGTGCGGCTCAGACCGATCAGTGTTTGACATCAAAGTACCTCGAGAGTGTTTCGAAAGCATAACCGTCTGTATGGTACTTTGATGTCATACACCGATCGGTCTGCACACGCAAACAAAGCCAAAACCTAGATATTTTAGGCAATATAGAAATCCTGGCCAGGACGCGTCCTGGGAAAATGGCACGTATGGTCACCCTATTTTATCTCTTTTACCACCAAAAAAAGCTCAAATGTGTCTAAAGGTTAATATACATAAAATACTTTTAGGACATATCCTGCATTTTGGCATGCTGTACTCCATCAAAAACTATTTTAAATAGCATTTTAGCAAGTCTTGTCAAAGACTGCATGGAATATTTATACTGTTAAATTAATTTCTTATACTGTAGGACCATTTAAAATCAATTAGTGAAGGCGACATTAAAAATGGTGAAAATGAAATGGCGACTAGTTGCAGGACACACTTTCTTATACATATACATTTTAAGCTGAAATTGTGATATTGGACATCTTATGCATCAACTCTCTAGAAATGTGAGTCCTCTCCAGAAATGTGTAAAGTAAAGAAACTTTGCTAACACTGTTCTCTGATGTTTCCATTACAGTAATAAAGTGACTGGAATTTATGAGCTAAGCTTATGCAAAATAGCTGACACAGGAAGCCCAGGTAAGATATTCCTGAAAATACTATCCGCTTGTTCAATTTGAAGAAAAAAAAAAAATAATAATAATTTTCATATAATACCTATATATATATATATATATATATATTAAATATGTTTTTATTTAGCAAGGATGCATTAAATTGATCAAAAGTGACAGTAAAGATATTTATAATGTCATAAAATATTTTTGTTTCAAATAAATGCTGTTCTTTTGAACTTTACATTTATCAAAGACTTGGTTTAAAAAAATGTATCAGTTTCCACAAAAATATTAAGCTGCTGCTTTCAACATTGATGATAATAAAAAATGTTTATTGAGCAGCAAATCAGCATATTAGAATGATTTCTGAAGGATCATGTGATGCTAAAGACTGGAGTAATAATGCTGAAAATTCAGCTTTGCCATCATGAATTATATTTTAAATTGTAAAAAAAAACAAAAAAAAACAGTGATGTGAAATTGTAATAATATTAAAGTTTGCTTTATTTTGATCAAATAAATTCAGCCATGGTGAGCATAAGAGACTTCTTTTGAAAACATACAAAAAAATTATCAACCACAAACTTCTGAACGGTATTGTAAATTATATAGAATATTTATAAAATATTTTACAAATAATTTATAAACGTATACAGACATTAGGAAGAAAAAAAAAAGAAGACATTTCAAAGGCTCAGATTTTTTTTAATTTATAAAATTGACCTGCTGTATTGAATCATTTAATTGTTCATTTTCAGGTATGCAGCGACGGAGACGGAAGGTTCTGGATACATCTGTGGCGTATGTGCGTGGAGAGGAGAACCTGGCCGGTTGGAGACCCAGAGGAGACAGTCTGATCCTGGAGCACCAGTGGGAGCTGGAGAAACTCGAGCAGTTGCATGAGGTGAGCACAGAAGACAAAAGATCACGACTGAGCACTGCCACACTTCCTGCTGCTTGTGTTCATCTGCATAAGAGTATCTGACAGGCAGTGGTGATCTCCAGACACTGATGCCCATTTCTGTCCATGTCAGGTGGAGAAGACACGTCACCTGCTGCTGCTCCGTGAGAAACTGGGTGAGACGGCTCCTCCTAAATCCCTGAGTGACTCCCTGTCTCCCAGTCTGAGCAGCGGCACCCTCAGCACCTCCACCAGCATCTCCTCCCAGATCTCCTCCACCACCTTTGAGAGCGCCATCACGCCCAGTGAGAGCAGCGGATACGACTCCACAGACATCGAGAGCTTGGTAGACCGCGAGAAGGAGCTGGCCACTAAGGTAAGACACCCCTTTTTTAAATTAAGTACTGTGTTCCATTTAAAGTCAAATATGAGATATGTCTGGTTTATTTTGTATGACATATATTTTGTGTGTTTATGTCTTTTAATTCTTTGCAGTGTCTCCGTCTCCTGACACACACTTTCAACAGTGAATACAACCAGATGTATAACAGCATCAGTGACTGCAAGGTAACCTCAACTTGAACAATGAAAAACAACCAGTTTTGTGTGAATTGGAACATAATCTGCTTGAATGAATTAATAAAAAAATTTTTTTTAATTCTGTCTCTTTCAGTTGTCGGATATCTCTCCTATGGGCCGTGATCCATCTGTCACCAGTTTCAGCAGTGCTACTCTCACACCCTCCTCCACCTGCCCCTCTCTGTCAGACTCTCGGTATGTACGGTTCACAAACAATAAGCTCAAAATACAGTCTTCTAAAAGTTAAGGATCCTAAAACATCTGTCTTGTCCAGGACCCCTGAAGCTAACTCTCGTGCCACCAGCCCCTCATGCTCAGACTATGAGAACTTCCCCATGGTGCCCATTCTGGAAACGTCCTACCTGGCCCGCGCCGGCAAACACGAGTTCCTCAACCTTGTGCCTGATATTGAGGAAATGAGACCTGGGTGAGAGTTTTGATATAGCTGACACATTTATTTTTGTTTATTCCATTCTCACAAGAATCAAGATGAGTTTGAACACTTAAATCATTCAGTTAAGCTGTTTTGTGTCATAGTTTCCTTTAGGGCTCCAAAACGATTAATCGTGATTAATCGCATTCGAAAAAAGGTTTCGTACTCTGTATATTTATTATGTATATATAAATACACACACATACATGTATATATTTAGGAAAAATGTGTTAGATTTATATATATATATATATACACATATACATATACATATACACATATACATATACATATACATACTAGGGCTGTCAGTTTAATGCGTTAACTTAATTAGTTATGCAAAAATAACGCGATTAAAATCCTAGCCCCCAGACCTGTACGTCGTCATATATGATGCAGGGCAACAACTCCATAAATGCAGTTATGCCCTAAAATTCAAGATATTGGTGCAAAAAAATGCCCCTGTATGAGTTTCTGTCTCATATTTATATCATACCATACACGATATCACAACATCAGCAAGAGCAATATCACACGAGTGCTGTTTGTCCCGAATATCACAAGTTTAAATGTGATTTTTATACAACAGTTCAGTAAATAAGAAGTTGATATTGTGTTATATTTTAAACACAATATTATGTTTTGGCTCAATTTTGCCGAGAACCTTTAAAGCAGCAGCAGAATTGTTGCGCGTCTCCAAGCAACACAGCAGTGTTTAGTTTCAGAATGAAAACGCGTTTTGAACGAATCGTGTGAAGCCGTATACTTCTTTCCTGAATTTTTCCTGAAAAGTACTAAGATGTTTCTCAAATTATCTTCTATGTTCCATAGTTTACGTTATAGCCTAAATGTTTGTGTAATTAATTTTGTTGAATCAAATAAAATATTTTCTTTCTAAAGCTACAATTTGTAATGTCTACTTGATACTTTTTCATTTAGCACAAAAATAGCTTTAATCTTTTGTGGGTATTTTCAGTCAAATTTATTTTGCAATTAATTAATCGAAACATTGTGTAATTAATTTGATTAAATATTTTAATCGACTGACAGCCCTAATACATACAATTATTTTTTTTTTTAAATAGATACATGTGTGTGTGTTTATATATACATAATTAATATACACTGTACACAAACATATAGTATGTAAACAAACCTTTATTTTGAATGCGATTAATCGCGATTAATCGTTTTGCAGCCCTAGTTTCCTTTAATGGGGCAGCAGAGATTGTACAGTAATATGCTGGACTGACGTGTCCTCTTGTGTTCACTCAGGTCTGTGGTATCTAAGAAGGGATTCCTCAGTTTCATGGAGCCCCGCTCCAACTCCTGGGTGAAGCACTTTGTGGTGGTTCGTCGGCCATACGTGTTCATCTACAACAACGACAAGGACCCAGTAGAGAGGGGAGTGCTGAATTTATCCACTGCCCAGGTAGAATACAGTGAAGACCAGCAGGCCATGCTCAAGGTAAAGCCTCACCCGCTATGTGGAAATCCACTGTTTTTCCTGTAATACATGTCAGTTGAATGCCTGATTGTTGCTGTTTGATGGCTTGCAGACGCCTAATACATTCGCCGTGTGCACCAAGCACAGAGGGATCCTCCTCCAGGCCAACAATGACAAAGACATGAACGACTGGCTGTATGCCTTTAACCCACTGCTAGCAGGAACAATAAGGTACACATCCCAACTTTTCCCAGAAACCTAGATCATCTAGAATGAACCTAGTCAAGTCTGGACCAAACTGACTACCTCTTTGAAAGGGCTTCTTTTCTGGTCCTCTCCAGAAAAAAAAATTCCAACATTTAGTGTCCCTAAAAGTAATGGCATTGCACTGTGTAACAAAATATCAATCTGAGTGCCATTTATTTTACAGGAATGTGGCACAAACAAATGCTTAACTATATAATATATAAACACACCAGGGTTATTATAGTTAACTAAAACTAAAACCATAAAATGTGTTTCACTACAACTACAATAAACTGACAATATATAAAAAAGGCTTATTTTATCTCTTTTACCCCCAAAAAGGTCAAATGTGTCTGAAGGTTAATATACATAAAAGACTTTTAGGACATATCCTGCATTGTGGCATGCTATACTCCATCGAAAACTATTTTAAATAGCATTTTAGCAAGTCTTGTCAAATTTGGCCTCATATTAGGCCAGAGACTACATATAATATTTATACTGTTAAATTAATTTCTTATACTTGTAGGACCATTTATTGAAGGCAACATTTTAAAAATGGTGAAAATGAAATTGCAAGCATATATTAGCTTACATTATTTTCATGTAGTTTAACTTGGTGTACTAAAGAAAAAAACCAAATAAAATCAATAACTAAACTATAAAATAAATCAAATACAAAACTAATTAAAATAGCTATTGATGCTGAAATGACACAAATACACACACTAATTGTGTTGTTAATTAATTTATATAAATATTTATATAGGCATTTATTTTAAAGAACTATTCTTTAAAATATATTTTAAAGAAATATAGTTAGCTATATAATATAAAATAAAAGAATCATTCAATTATTTGTATAAGTTTATATTACTATAATTATAACAGTAATAAAACAATTAATCACATGTGTAGAGAGAGAGAGAGAGAGAGAGAAAGAGAAAAATGATTTTGGTTGTGAGAAAAGTTCTATTGTTAACAGATGCCACTTGGTTTCATGTTTTGTTTCTAAGAGTCACATTCAGGCTGTGTCCTAAGTATCCAAATACTTTTTTGGGCTGCTGTTTGTGTGTTTGTTTCCTTTCAAATTTTCACTCTTTCTGTGTTTTCCTACAGGTCAAAGCTGGCGAGGAGACGGTGCAGTCTGATGAAGAACTGACCGAGCGTGCACACGCAGAGATAGTGCTCACTTCTCGCTCTACCTTTACAACGTACCAAGTGTTTTAACACTTCTAAATCTTTGTGGTTCTTGACGGTTTCTCTTGTATGTAGACCTGTGGCTCTGTTCTCCTCTCCAGCAAATGAACTTTCAGTTCCTAAACCCCAGCTGTCCCCTTCCTCCTCCTCCTCCTCCTCCCCTCTCTATTGTGTTATTGATTGGATTTATTCTGTCTTCAGTTTTGTTCTGTCATAACTGAACCTCCTTCAAGTAGCATGTTGTAATAGTCTGTTTGTGCGTGCACGAATCTTCAGAGCAGGTTCTGCTTTCTCTTGAGTTACTCTCGTCTGGAAACTTCATCCTTACAGTGTTGTCTGCCAGGAACATCTTACCCTCAGGAGAAAGTTGGTTTGCTATAAAAACCCCCATTGAGTAAAAATATATATATTAATAATAATAATATAAATAATATCTAAAATATTCCGTATTTAATTATCACAAATCAACTTTCTCTATAACACAAAAACAAATAGCTTTGCTCCAGATATTGCTTAAAAAAAAGATTTTTAAATGGACCAAAGCACTTCTTGAAGATGCTTAATTTTCTAAACAAAGAAATTGACCCTTCAACTGAATGTTATTGCAGTATTGGTTTAATGGATTTGCTCAATCAAAGCTAGCCGTGACAGTCAGGACGTTAACCATGTACATACAGCCGTTTACTCGCCCAGCCTGTCGCAATGTATTTGCTTGACATTAATTCCACATATGAAGGACATAAAACATACCATTAGCAAAGTACAGTATGTAATCAGAAGACATATAATACCAGGGAAAGAAAATGATGGTGATGATCTATCACATATCGCTCTTTCAGTAGCCTACAGGAGTATTCTGCTCGATTTAAATTATTTCCTCAGTAGATTAGGTACAAAAAAAAAAAAATGATGCAAAAGAATGACCTTAACACAGAACAACTGACCGAATGAATCCATTTGTACATAACGTTCAGGATTACTGTGCTTAACGCTACTCATGACGAGACAGGATGCATTATGGGTTTCTGTCCTTGTTACTGTATTACTGAAACCATTTTCCGGCAGTTTTAGCAAGAAAGATTGCTAAAGGTTGAGTGAGAGATACTGATTTGATGGGTTACAGTTAACGAAATGAAGGATTGAATTATTTGTGTGGTTTATTATCTCAAGTCTGCAGGGTCATTAAACCAGCCTTTATTCCCCTTGAGAATGAGCAGGATCACTTTTTAATATTATTGAACCTTTATCATGTATCTCTACTGATTATCTTAACTTATTTTTATTAACATGTGATCAGTGTTTTACATTATACAATGGAAGGCTCCTCATTTTTATTCAGCTGTTCTTCTTTACTTATTTGAACAGACCAAGTTTGACCACTAAAACAGTTTGATCACTGTCAGTAGAAATTGGGCCATTTATGCAGTTCACTGCAGTGCAGGGATGGTAGTGTTCTGCTTTTGTTTTGAAAATCTTTGCTCTGTGCATTTGAAGACATGCAGTCAAGAGACAAATGCTGAAGTTAGCAGTGATTCAGTTTGATGGTGAAATTTCAGCCATTTGGTTGAGCATATAACAGTCCTCTGGCCAGACAACCAGCAGGAATTATTGCCCACCAGACTGTCACACTGTCAATCCTTATGAAGTCAATATTCTTGCTGCAACATACACTGCACTTTCTCTTCTTGAAGCGCATTTTCACAGGAAACGCATGAAAATGGCTCGTAAAGTCAAGTCCTTAGGTCAGCCAGCCTTTAGGCTTCATCTGAGCTGTTTGATTGTTACGTCATCTGTGAAAATGTTCAAATGTAATCTTCAGATCCGGCACATAGAGTGCTTAACGGTTAGTGAAGGTTAGCATTGATCTAATTACATGACAAGTGTGAGTTAATGTTACACATTTTTGCCAGAGCAAAGGTTTTTGTCTTTTCTATGTTTTTTTTTTTACCATCTTTGTTGAGTGGCTTGGTTGACTAATATGATATTCATAATGAATTTCATTAACTGTATTTATTGTTTTGCAATGTATATATTTAGTTTGCAGCTTTTTGCACATGTGTTTATACAACTAACAGAACAAATAAAGCTTGAACGATGTTTTTGTTGTTTTCTCAAATGGAAACCAAATGGTTTTAGGTTGTGGTGTTTTTCTCATTGAATGTACATTGCGTTTCACTAAAATTGCATGAATGAAAGACGAATATCTTAATTAGGGACTGACATGTTGCTGTGCTTCTTATTTCTTGAAATAGAAATCTGACTGTGTTACAAGGGCACTTTTTCACATTTAGTCTATAGATATGGAGGGCAGAGTTATGATGAGGCCTGTTCGTTTTGATTTCTAACATCAGGGAATATATTTTCTAGAAAAAGAACCTGTTTTGCTTTACCTCTTTGTTTTTGTGCTCACTCATGCATTTTTTTCCCCATGCTGCCTCTGAAGCAACCCTGGCATTACTGTATCGCCCCATCAGATGAGCATCACTCCCTCTCATTGTGATGAAACGATAGAAAACAGTTCAGCTGTGGCATTAACACTGTACATTATTTGTCAGATTGGCTTCATTTTCATACTTATTTTGTAAATATTTCATGTTGTACGGAACTTGGATTAAAATGTAAATATGTCTCCTGTATTTGTAATAATTATAATCCATTCGCTGTATAGCCTAGACGTGTAATGCATATATCTTAATTCTGTGTATGGTAATCTTGCACCATTGACCTGTTTAGTGAATGAGGTACAAATAAAATTACAACCAGTGCATTAGACGAACAACGGATCTCGTGTTGTCTCTTTCTTTCTCTTTACACAACACTCTGCATTATACATAGGCTATAGCTTTTGTCTTATCTACTGTTTAGTTAAAGTGACATTTTGCTAGCTATATCTCGTGATATTACATTATTTGACTTCCTAAATTGATATGGCTGGCTGGTAATTGTTAGAAGTGTTTTTTTTTTCTTGGTCTTTTGCCACTTTGTCTTAAAGCTAGCTTGTTTGTTTGTTTTTAAGAGATCTAAAAAAATATATGATTTTATGAAATATTTTAACCTTTTGACAAAAAGCATCTAACAAACTAACCAGTTGAGTAAATAAAATATCACATTTGATATAAAAATAATGTGCTGTAAAATAATAACATTATGCCTACCTTTATATTTTACTTTATATTTTTACTGATTAGATAACAGATTGTTGTTGTTATTATTACTATTAAAGGAAAAAAATTCTTAATAAATAACCAGAACATTTACTATATGTGACCCTGGACCACAGAACCAGTCAGCAGGGGTATATTTGTAGCAATAGCCAAAAATACATTATATGGGTCAAAATCATTAGGATATTATGTAAAGATCTTGTTCCATGAAGGTATTTTGTAACAAATGAAGATATGTAACAAGTGAATGATTTTGTCCATGAAGATATTCTGTAATCAAAACTTATTTTTTGATTAGTGATATGCATTGCTAAGAACTTCATTTGGATAACTTTAAAGGTGATATTATTACTATTAAAGGAAAAAAATTCTTAATAAATAACCAGAACATTTACTATATGTGACCCTGGACCACAGAACCAGTCAGCAGGGGTATATTTGTAGCAATAGCCAAAAATACATTATATGGGTCAAAATCATTAGGATATTATGTAAAGATCTTGTTCCATGAAGGTATTTTGTAACAAATGAAGATATGTAACAAGTGAATGATTTTGTCCATGAAGATATTCTGTAATCAAAACTTATTTTTTGATTAGTGATATGCATTGCTAAGAACTTCATTTTTAGAGATATTGCTAAGAACTTCTCAATATTTCGAGTTTTTTTGCACCCTCAGATTCCAGATTTTCAAATAGTTGTATCTCGGTCAGATATTGTATCCTATCCTATCCTAACAAACCATACATCAATGGAAAGTTTATTTATTCAGATTAATCTCAAATTCAAAAAATTGAGCCTTTTGGTTTTGTGGCCCAGGGTCACAGATGAGATAAAGTTTCTATATGAAGAAAGATCATCTTGGAAATAATGACGTTATTATTATAATTACATTATATTATTACATATAGGCTAGTTACATTATCTATAATGTATATTTAATAAATAATTACGTCAAATACTTATAACTATTTTTATCAGATAGTATTACACACTCAAGCCATATATATATATAATTATTGTATTTATCTATTTAATTAAACTTGTTTTCAAAGTTTTATATTTCGGAAGATAGTCGTTACGTCTAAATGTAGTAATCTACTTAATAATTAATCACTTTGATGAAATTTCATACGTTACACACATCACAATAGTGATGCAACGGTGCTCTACAAAATCAATCGTCTCAGAGTTCCTCAAGAAAAATCTCACTCCCTATTTACTTCATTACCAAATGCTCTCAGCTTTTTCTGAAACAGTGGACGGAGAACAGACGGGGGGTGGGGGACAAAACTAGACAGCCAATGAACAGCATCCAATCTCGGCTCAGAGAGTCTCCGCCAATCACAGACGGCGATACGGATGACGCCACGACCACTGTAATCTGTCAGGCGTGTTCATTGGGAGTTGGTGTAGTGCTGCTGCTCAGGCCGTGAATAAGGAAGTTCAGCAGAGACGGTGCTGTAGTAGTCAAAACCCTGATCCAAAGTGTCATTTTAAGACGGAACCAACCTACAACCATGGCTCAGTAAGTATACATTTTGCTTTTAAAATACTTTGTAATATGAAATTGAATTTGACTGAGCACATTTGACTGTATATTATCATATGTAATATAGTGTAAGTTATTTCACATTGTCAGCATTCATTTTATCTATACTAATCTCTCTGCTTACTATCAAGCACTTTTTTCAGTTCAGACAGATTTAGATTTGAAATTCGTTCTATGTTATCCAGCTAGACTGAATGACATTTGTCATAACCACTGATTTCAATAAGCTAGCACTCACAATCTATCATGAATGTTCTTTCTCCCAATCTCCATATTTGTGTCTCCACAGAGCGGATATTGCTCTCATTGGTCTGGCTGTGATGGGCCAGAATCTGATCCTGAACATGAATGACCATGGATTTGTGGTAAGTTGCAATTCTAACCTGTTCTGATGGTTCAGATCAGGTTTATGATGTTATAACTACTGTCATTTCTCAGGTCTGCGCGTTCAACAGGACAGTGTCCAAGGTCCATGACTTTTTAAACAACGAAGCCAAAGGCACTAAGGTGATCGGGGCCGAGTCCCTTGAAGACATGGTGGCTAAACTAAAAAAACCTCGTCGCATCCTCCTCCTCGTCAAAGCAGGACAAGCTGTCGATGACTTCATTGATAAACTGGTAAACGTCACCATGAATCAACGGTCTTAGTTTGCTTTGTCACCAAGCCAAAGTGATCAAGTAACCCACTTTATATTGTAGGTTCCTCTTCTTGAACCTGGTGACATTATCATTGATGGTGGAAATTCAGAGTACAGAGATACAACGGTGAGGTTAACAATCCAAATTTATGATGAGGTGATAACAGTATTTGATCTAAATGTTCATGCTCGTCACATACAGAGACGCTGTAGGAGCCTGAAGGAGAAGAACCTTCTGTTTGTGGGTAGTGGAGTGAGTGGAGGAGAAGACGGGGCTCGTTATGGACCCTCACTGATGCCTGGAGGACATGAGGATGCCTGGTGAGGACAAGCATGTATCAAACAAGTCCACCTATGCATATGTGTGTGTATTTATTGACATTTATGGAATCAAATTATTATTTTATACCTTCAGGCCACACATAAAAGAGATTTTTCAGAGCATTGCCACCAAGGTGGGCACAGGAGAGCCGTGCTGCGACTGGGTGAGTATTAGTTCTCAATAGATTTATACAGCCTGTGAATGCACTTCTCCAAAATCTTTGTATATTTGTTTAGGTTGGAGATGAAGGAGCTG